TACAAGCCGCTGAAGAAAGCGGCTGAGGACTGCTGTTGTCGACAACCGCTACTGTTGCTGTTGACCGCCGCTGTGTGCTGCTGCTGTGTTCAGTGGCTGGGCAAGAACGGGTGTTGTTGTTTTTGGTTGTGCACGGCTGCTGCAGCTGCTGGCTGGGCGCAGACTACGGCTGCATTCTGTTACAGGCTGTTGCGTGGCCACGACTGGGCTAAGGAGAGGTGTTGAGACTTGCGGAGGTGATCAGACTGGGCAAATAGGGGATTATTGCTGCGATTAGGAGGTTCATCAGAGGGAAGTTGTTCATCAATTTGACTTCAAGCTTGACCGGCGGCAGCTGTGTCTGGCCACCATTGTGGGGGCCCTTAGGCGAGTGAAGGTATCAAGGCCCTCTCCTGCGAGTCTGAGTGCACCTCTCTTGGATCTGAGAGACTCAAATACCTCTCTATCTGCCCTTCTCACTCTCAGTCTAGTCCACTGGTTTGGAGAGGAAGGCGGCAGGCGGGATTGCAACCCGTAATCCGCGCCAAGGCCTTTGTGGGAGGTTGCCCCACCGATTGCGGGAGCCCTGCCGAAACTCAGGAGGAGTTCTGGAGGCAGGGAACTCAGAGGTAACCTTTGCCTTCCCTTATAAACCCAGTATAACCCCTACCTATATTCCTCCCTATGTATTGTTTGGCTATGCTGAGTGCAACCTCTACTTTGACTTTTTGATTGACTCTCAGGACACAAATCAGACCAACTAAAAGAATGTTTGTATAATGGCAGGTTCAGTTTCTTGTTTGACTAAAAGCAGATTCTCACAAAGGGGTTGCATCAGGGGGAAGGTTGGGAGGAAGGCAGTTTTGCTTGCGATTGAACGGGTCTTACAGGGTCAGGCATTGTTTCTAAGATGAATAACCTGACTGCTATGTTTTGTTCTGTTTTCTGAAGAACCAAGCATTGTTTCTAAGATGAATGGCTTGGTTGTTGTGTCTCTTTAATTGTGCCAGGCATTGTTTCTAAGATGAATGGTCTGGCTACTTATTTCTGAGGGGTATTGCTTGCTTGACTTTTGAGGGCCAGACATTGTTTCTAAGATGAATGGTCTGGCCGCTGTTTACTTGGGTGGTTTCTGAACAGTCTCTGGGTCAGACCCAGGGTACTCTTCTTTTTTTTGTATGCTAAAAAAAAGGGAGCTGAGCATTGTTTCTAAGATGAATGACTCATCTCTCCTTGATTGTTTTATTCTGAGGGAGGATTCAAGGCCAGAGGACTAGACATTGTTTCTAAGATGAATGGTCTAAGTCTGAGGCCTTAGGACCATATTGAGAACAAAGGAATAAGATTCTCTATAATGTTGTATATATATATGTACTTATATGCGAACAAGTCTAGCCAGACATTGTTTCTAAGATGAATGGCCTGGCTATAGCCCTATCACAAGCGAAGAGAGTATAATCGAGAGCTATAATTGAAAGTAACCTGGGCAGGCTGAGCATTGTTTCTAAGATGAATAGCTCATCCCTACGCCCTCTTTCTGAAGACTAAGGTGCAGAAAGGTATATATAACTTGGCTATTTAAACAATTCAGGGCGACTAAGCATGGTTTCTAAGATGAATGACTTAGTCACATGCCCAACGAAGAGAAAAGTAGTCGTGCAACCTGTTCGTGTATAACTAAGGCAGAGGGCTGACATTGTTTCTAAGATGAATGACCAGTCCCAATGCCCTATGTAAGCAGGGTATAAAAGGTTAAAACACTGAAAGACTATGAACTAATGTTTGCTAAGTCAACCTGGGGTTGGTGAGAGTACTTACCTTTGTGGTTTGACCTGCATGTGATTGAGTGGTATCACTACCTGGTATGAGTTCGAGTTGATAGGTAGTTGCTGTAGTGGCTCGCCACGTGCTAGAGCTATAGGAGTTAGATTCAATTTCTGAATTTTCTGAGATAGTTTTTTTACTTAGTTCGATTTCTGCATTTATCTGAGGTCTTTTCTCATAGTTGGGCTTGTATAAATCTTGGTAAGTTACTTTTTCTACGGGAAGCGCTGCCGAAATTTCTGCAAATCCAGGGAGTTAGACAAATCTCTAACTTCTCAAAAATTCAATTGTCTGAGTCATATATGGATTAGTAGGAATCTGGGAAGTCTCCCTTTCTAAAGGGAATGCTGCCCAAATTTTGACTAATTCAGGGAGTTAGACAAAAGTGAGCTTTAGAAAGTCAAAGACTATTCTTGCTTTTGTATTCAGACTTATATAAATTTTGGAAAGATAGTTTTTCTACGGGAAGCGCTGCCGAAATTTTCTTAGTTTAGAGGAGTTAGATTTTATTATGACAGGTGGCGGAGTTGGCAATCCACTCTGTATGGGGGAAACCCAGCCAAAGGTCTACCTTTTCTCCGAGCCCTGACTTAGGACTAGGCTCAGACCTAGTTGGCTACCAGGAGGTTAGATGAGATTACCATATAGAAGATAGTGTGCATAAGGCTTACGAGTTGTCTTGGGCGTTGACCTGTCTTATGTTACAGGCCGGCTTGATCAATCTGATTCAGGACTTGGGATAGTTCAGCTTGATCCTGCAAGGATCATCTTCTGTTATCACTGATAACAGGTCGGTTGCCGATTCGTCGGTTCGCAACTCAATTCCTACTCGCTTCCCATACTCAACCTAAAAGGCTTTAGCCCTGGTGATCTTCTTGTTTGTTAAGAGTTTCACCCGGACTTTTATTGAATGACCATTTAACAGAGGTTTTGAGTATTTATTTAAGGTTGGTTGGCTGGAGGTTGGGGCTTGCATGGCTAAAGCGAGGGGTATGAGTATAGAAACTGGTTGGAGTTGACTCCGTGTAGTGTGTGGACTTTTGTCTGACTTTTGATGTGATTGCAGGTATGTTCAAAGACTTGGGGTTTTGGTTGGGCTGCCTTGCCGTCGCGTATATATGTATGGTTAGAAGGAGACCCACTATGATTGTGAGAAGTGATCGTCACATAATTATCCCCCTTGTGTATATGTATGTGCGAGTGTATGTGTACCTACGTGAGGAATTAGCGCGGCCTGAAGTGCCCGCGCAGTAAGGGCCTCGAGCCTAACATGAGAGGTTTTTTTTTTTAATAAACGGTAAAAGTGCTCGTTTCCTTTCCTTGTTGCGATTTATCTTGGTGGAACGATAAAGTTCCGGGCGGAAGGGCTAGCGTGTCGCTGGTGATGCGCCAGACAACTCACCACCGCTCCAAACCCCTTCCTGTCCTAGGGGCCGTCTTGCCCCGCACCCGTTGGGACACCTCAGGGTGCAGAAGGCAGGAAGACCCTCAGGTTGGTTTTGCGCCAGCTAAAGGGCAACCCCCTTTTGCTCGCACTTCAGCCAACGCCTGAGCGTTGAAGGTGACCCCTTTGGCTCAGAATATGCCATTTGGGTGTGGGCACTACATAATGCGCCGCCATCGCAGTTACTCGTGTAGAGCTGCATAGCGAGATAGTATGTGTAAGTCCAGCGCCCTCGCGATCTTATACTATGTTTACGAGCGGCACTCGTCGCATCCCGCACTAAAAGAGTTTATGGGTCAGGCGGTGAGACCACGAGCGCGATACGGCTAGTAAACTTGGGGTTTTGATAACTTGAAGCGGCACGTGGGCGGAGGACTAGCCCCGGTCAGCCTATGGGACTCCGTGTACGGGCCTCATTATCCCGGACGCCGGGTAGCCCATGGGTAGGATTCCGGACCCCCTCCGCGCGCGCGTCGTTTGGGCTTACCCACCCCCTTCCATTTTAGAAGACCATCAGCTAAATGGGGGTTGGAGTGAGTTTCCTTTTTGCGTTTTCATGGTTGGACGTTATAGTCCGTGGCGGCCGTCAAAGTCAAACCCCTTGATGTTCGACCGCCACGATAGCTTCAAGTTGTCTACTCAACCCCTCTGCACAGGGTGCAGAAGAGGGTGTGGTTTTCAACCGCGAATGACAGTTGTCCAACGTCGAGAGATTAACCCTCAAGGCGCATGTCACCCGACACTTGAGTGTCGAATGAGACCCTCGAGATTAACGAGGACCGCATGGATGTGAGTACCATAAAGTACGCCATCACTACGACCGCTTGCGCACGTTTGCATCGCAAGTCAAATGTGAGTAGCCCTGCGTCTGCGTGATTTTTATACTAAAGTCTCGCGCGCGACGCCCACCCGATTTCTGCGTTGAAGGGTTATGGGACGGCTACTGAGGGGCTAGGGGCGTCGTTGCGTTGTTTGTGCTATGTCGTTCTGTGTGTGTATGTGTGTGTGTGCGTTCCCTTTGTGTTTGTAGAGTAGTGTATGCGTGGTAAGTGGGATACGTCCTAGCCGACCGACGACGAACCGCCCTTAGGACTTCAGGCCCCCAAGGTGTCGGCCCGCGTGCGGGTCCGATAGGCGTGCTACCGCGCGTACCCCCTATGCTACAGCGAACGAGAAACGCCCTCGGCTGGTCCACCTCTGCGATTGCGATTGAGTAGCTTTCGTACTGTGGACTGGTAGCTCGGCAGGGATACGCCCACCGAAGGGAGGTGACAGCTCCCGTAAGGTGGAGGTAAGCTGTGCCTCTCGTAGGCCCTATCCTGTCGTAGGGGCTCGCGAGAGGTATGGCTGGCGCACTCGACCGGAGCGACCTAAGGAAACTCCATTTGTTTGTTCGCGAAAAGGTTAATCCAACTCCTGCGTGACGCGGCCGAGAGGGTCCCGCGCTGCCACGAGCAGTGTCGGGCCGATGCGCTCGACAGGTGGCGCTGTTGCCGGGGATAACGGAAGCCTACCGTTGTCCCTAGTGGAACGACATCCAGGTACAAGTGAGAAAATAGGCATAAAAAAATGATAAGTGTGATCGAAGTAAAAGGTAAGTGATGAGGGACTAAGTATAAGAAGGGAAAGTTAGCACCCGTATATATGTATTTGATTGAGCTGCCCGGTCCTAGCGAGAGCGTAAAGGGTGGCAGTACTCATGTCGAGGGTGAGACTAGGTAGGAGATACAGGCTAGACCAGGTTGGAGTAGGATGCTAAGTAGGTGAGTGCCTTTGGTTTTCTCTTAACAGGAAATTGGAAAAGGAGGCCTACCAAGATGCCGGAGGGTGGTGGTATATCGGATGGTGTCGGAAGGATCCTGACCATCAAGGACCTCATCGCAGCCCTAGATCGATATGAGAAGACCCCGAGTAATGTTCCGAAGGTTGAGACCTTCCTCTTTGATGGGGAAAGGGTCTCAGACTGGCTAGACCTGGTAGAGCACGCAATGGTGGGATTGTCAGATGAGGTGAAATTCCAGCGTATTATGAGGTACGTGCTCCATAGGCACCATCAGGAGGTGCAGAAGGTTGTGGATGCCGCCCATGGCAGTTGGGAAAGATTCGGGGAGAGCATGCTGCGCAAATATCGGCTGGGTGATGGACTGCTTACCATCTCGGATCTTGAGGGAATGAACAAGGATGACTTTACCACGATAGGGGCCTTCGTACAAGAGTTTAAGAAGAAGGCAAGGAAAGTTCATGGGATCTCTGAGGAGAGGCAATGCGCTATATTTCTGGGACTGCTTACTGGGTCAGAGGCAGCCGAACTGACAAGTCATGGAGGAGGCAGCGCAAAGCTTACCTGGGCCACCATCGACAGAGGAGTGGAGGATGGGAGTTTAGATCAGGTAGAGCAGCATCAGATGCGCCTGCAAAGGAGGAAGAGAAAGGAAAGGGACGCTACTGCATCAGGGATCCCGGGGGTAAAAAGGATCGTCACTGATGTGCTTGCGGCATTAGGCTATGGCCAGGATGCCGAGGCACAGAGAAAGGCGGTAGCCGGGGTCCAAGGCCAAGAGAGAGAGGTGGGGGATGAAGGCGCCGGGCAAGAGGATTACGGTGGGGAGGAAACGGGGTCACAAATCCTTACCAAGGCCCAACGGAAGCAATGTTATATGTTGTTGGGTGGTCAGGGGTCTGGCAAAGGACAGGCCCCCCAGGCAATTGTTGCACCACCAGTCGCCGCCGCAACTGCGCCCACATCGACAGGGCCGACGCCAATGGGGCCGCCCCTGGCCTGCGGACATTGGGTGCCACACTGTCAAGCGGCACCCTGGCCCAGCTATAGTAATTGTACCTCGTGCGGAGGGGGCCAAGCCCATACTGGACAGATGGTTCCATTCTTGGGTCCGTCAACAAGCGCAGGGCCGCCAAGTTTCCCGGCGAGACAAGGTCAATTCACGGCCCAGCCTCCCCCCTCACAGCAAGCATCGTAGGCTAGTGTGGCGGGAGGAGGAGGCCAAGGGCAAGGAGGGCAGGGCAATGGTGGTCGGGGACAAGGAGGCCGAGGGGGTGGCGGACGAGGCTGAAATGGAGGAGGGCGTGGCGGCAGATGGAACAATCAAGGGGGCCAGGGCCAAGGAGACCAAGGTAGCCAGCAAGGAGGCCAAGGATATGGGAGACCCCGCTTCGACTGGCGGAACGCAACCTGCAGGCATTGTGGTATTGTAGGCCACACGATTCGGTTCTGCCAGCAACAGCAGGATGATGAGCTTGCGGGCCTGATTTCCTCTTGTATGGATGGGGATATATACGACAAGTGGGGGGAGCACATTGACCCCAGGACCCCGGGAGGTATCAGGCAGGAAGCCCTCAGGCGGGCGGAGGCTGGGCCATCGACCGCCCCGACCATGTTTAGACTGTGGCAGGAGAGAGAGGACCCGACCATAAGGATCGAAGAGATCACGGGGGATAGCGAGGAGGTTACGCAACGATTAAGGGCCGGGGCCATAAAGGAAGAGCCGATAATCGTTGAGTCAAACGACGAGGAGAGAGAGGATGATGGGGAGCCGGGCGTAACCACCCTGGAAAGGATGGAGGATTTGATGGAAAAAATAGGGAGGTATCAGCTGAAGCTGAAAAAGTTATGCGATGAAGTCCGAGGGTGGAGAGCCGACCTCCCAAAGGTCTTCCTCTACGAGACTGGGCCGGGGCCGACGGCTGGACAGCAGAGTAGCCCCGGGGTTGCCGTGGCGGGGTCTGGCCCCAGGTCAGGAATGATGTTCAGGCCGCCCACCCCGCATGGGCGGGCGCCGCAAGCAATTCAAACCAGGAGCCAAAGTAAGGTGGGCCCTAGTCAGCCACCAAGCCAAGCACCAAGTCAGGCACCGACACCCCCACGGAAGAGACTTGAGCCTAAGCGTAGAAAGGAGGTGGTTGAGGTCCAGAAAGAAGAGGAAGAGGATGACGACACAGAGGATGAGAGACTCTGTCAGGAGGAGGATCGGAGCAGAGAGCGCAGAGAAAAGAGGCGCAGGAGAGAGCCGAGTCAGGTCTACAGGATGGTGTGCCCAGGAAAAGGAAGTACACCGTCAGGCTGGAGGAGGACTTTGACGTGGAAAGGATGGTGGACCGACTCCTTGAAGGTCACAATGACCTTATGAATTTAAAAGACACCCTGGCATCCGCACCAAGACTCCGGGAAGAGTTGAAGGGGCGATTGTCTCGAAGGCTAGTGCCCAACGTGCATTTGAGCGCCGTCCTGCCCAGGGAAGTGGGATTGACACAAGCCGGGACGAGGATGGACTGGAAGTGCGTGGCATGCGGACTGGTGGACTTGGTAATAAAAAAGAAAAAGTGTGTGGTGATGATGAATACGGGCGCTGAAATGAATATCATTAGGGAAAGAGATGCGCTCATGCTCGGGATAGAGATCGACTGTGCAGATCACGGTGTGCTGCACGGGGCTAATTGCAAAGCAGTTTTTTGCGGCACAACGTCGAATGTGATCATAAAAATTGGCAAGGTGCGAGCAAGGACGTGCTTTTTCGTCATGCCAGATGTGGACCATCCCATCCTTCTGGGCAGATCGTTCATGTGCAGGATGGAGACCCTGATCTTCAACAAGCACGACGGAACGATGTTATTGCTCCTGAGTGATCCAGTCTGTGGAAACTACGAAGTTGTCACCTGCCGGAACACGGGGCCAGGGAGCGAACGGAATAGGCCTAACCCCGGCTCGTTCACCTATGTGGAATCGGAGAACGAGTGGCGAAGACTCGCAGAGGAGTCCGAGGAGGAAGGTGGGGCGAAAATGATGTCACTAAGCCTTACGGATGTAAGTAAGGCTATGGAGATCGTGGCGGCACATGAGATGGCGGACCCGGAGGCCATCAAGGCCTTGCGAGAGCATGTTTTGGAATGCCCGCAGGCAGGAGAGGTGGAGCTTATCTATCGGCTTCCCTGAGGAAGAAAGGGGCCTGCAATGGTGCAAGCGCAAACAACAAGCCGGCCTTTTTTAGGGGACGGCTCAAGCAGGGCACCCAAAGGAGGTACAAAACGGTAGATAAGAAGTGTCGCCCTGTTCCCGTGCTCGTTACGGAAGATGAAGAGGCCTATTACGAGCGGGAGCGAGGATTAATACTGCGAATGCAAGAGCAGGCATTGAGGGATCCATGCCGTATCAATGATGGAAATGAAGGAGAGTTAATAGTCGGGGAGCTAGGTTTTCTCTCGCCTCAGGAAAGGATGCTGATGGTGCAACTGATAAAGAAAAGGCATCGCGCATACGCCTTTAATAACGACCAGCGTGGGAGGCTGGATGTGGACAAGATCCCGATGATCCGGATCCACACAGTTCCCCACGAGCCTTGGAACTTGAGGGGTGCGCGATACCCAAACCCTGATGAGGAGAAGATGATGGTGGATTATCTGGATGGCAAGATGCACACGCATGTTGCCGGCTACTCTAGTGGTCCGTATGCTTCCCCTTGGTTCTGCTTTATTAAGCCAAACAGGACGCTACGGTGGGTACAGGATTTGCAGCGGCTGAACACAGTAACGGTGCGAGATGCGGGAGGCTTGCCAAACGCAGATGCACTGTCAGAGTCATGCGCGGGGAGGCCTATAATTTCACTTATAGACCTCTATTCCGGGTATGATCAGTTTTCTGTATATCCGCCCGATAGGCCGGTGACGGCAATGCACACGCCAAGGGGGCTAATCCACATGAATGTGGTTCCCCAGGTTTGGACGAATGCGGTGGCAATGGTGCAAAGACATATGATCAGGGCCATGCAAACAGTCAGTCCGCACATCACTCAACCCTATATCTACGACTTGGCTGTCAAAGGGCCAAAGGAGAAAGAGGAGGATGAGGTGCAGACCGGAGTGAGGCGCTTCGTTTGGAGGCATATCCAGGATCTCGATCGAGTCTTGGGCCTGCTAGAAGAACACAACCTCACTGCAAGTGGGCCAAAGTCCAAGCACTGCATGAGGGAGGCCACCATCCTAGGGTTTGTCTGCAACGAGAAGGGCCGGAAGCCAGATGTGAAGAAGACAAACAAGATCTTAGAATGGCCGGTGCTTTTCCAGACCATAACGGATGTGAGAAACTTTCTTGACACTTGCGGATTTTGGAGAAGCTTCGTGAAAGACTTCGCCGCCAAGACCGAGCATCTAAGGAAGCTGGTGCGCCAGGACCAGGAGTGGGTTTGGGGGGAAGACCAGGAAGAAGCGGTAGCCAGGATGAAGGGAGAGTTTAAGGAAGGAGGGTTGGTGCTAGGGGCGCCAAATTATGAAGGGATTGAAGAAAAGCCGTTCATCATCGAGACAGACGCTGGCCCAACTGCATTAGGAGGGGTTTTGATCCAAGCGGATGTCGAAAGAAAGGAAGGGCCGCTAAGATTCGAAAGTCGCACTCTTAATACGACTGAGAGGAATTACTCTCAGTTCAAAAAGGAGATGCTCGCGGTACTCCATTGTCTAAGGGTCTCCCGGAATTATGTCTTCGGCAGGAGATTTATATTGAGGGTAGACCCTACGGCGCTGACTTGCTCTTTAAAAAATTATACACCATCTGACCCAACCGTCACTCGATGGTTGACGTACATTTGGATGTTTAATTTTGAGCCGGAAAGGATTTCGGGGAACAAGAATAGAGCTGACGGCCTGAGCCGCGTCAACTGGGACAGTGCAAATCAGGGGTCGATCGAAGACACCCCGCCAGTTGACGGGTTCCTGGATCAAGAAGAAGATGTGCGACTCCATATAAATAAGTGGGCGCTGCGAGTACCTAGTTGTGTTAGCTATCCCATATGGATAGCACCAAAAGGGTATGAGCGGAAGACCGACTTAGTCCTTAAGCCATTTCAGGAAGAAGATCAATGGGGAGGCAAGGACGCGCAGTGGATGATGAAGTTGGCACTGACAGGGACACATGGTTTGGTGGAAGAGGTGAGGACAATAGAGGAAAGGCCTACTCAGGTAGAGGAACATGAGCAGCTAATGGGAGGGATGTATTTGCTCACTAATACGCTCCTGCAAGGAGACTTTGACTGGAGAGGCTCGTTTAGTCATGAGGAGGATGAGCTCCTGATTCCGGAAAGCCAGAATGACGAGTTTGAAGAAGGGGAAATTAAGGAGGCATTCCGGGCAGAGGAATATGACGGGATCTATCTTGAGCTGGACTTACTTTTATCCTGTGAGATGAGGGACAGGGATGCTAGCGACAAGGCGCAGAAGTTGAGGCACCTCTACGTGGTGAGAGATGGGCATTTGTTCATAAAGCGGCAAGTTGGGAATCCCAAGCGGATTGTGTACGGGAGGAACCGACAGTTGGACATCATAGAGGCATTACATGATGGTATAGCAGGTGGGCACAGAGGTGTGAGTGCCACATGCGCAAAGATAAGTGAGCTCTACCATTGGGATGGAATGTTGACGATGGTCATCAAGTACTGCCAATCCTGTGTACCTTGCCAGGAAAGGTCGGCGCAAAGGCCGGGAGAGCCCCTGCACCCAAGGTTGGAAAGGGAAGTGGGTGCGGTTGTACACCTGGACCTGCTGTTTATGCCAATGGGGGAAAATTGGTGCAACTACATCTTGGATGCACGCGACAATCTCACCGGGTTTGTAGACGGGCGGGCTATCCGAACGAAGACCGGCCCAGTTTTGGCAAGTTGCATCGAGGAGTATTATCTGCGCTRTYCTTTCGTCAAGGAGTTCRTGATGGACCGKGGGTCAGAGTTTACCTGCAACGAGGTGCGGACTTTGCTTGCAAGATATGGAGTAGTGACCAACTACACTACGRCCGCRCACCCCCWAGCGAACGCTCCTGTGGAAAGGGGGCACAGTACCATCACGAACCTCTYGGCYAAATGGACAGAGGGCAAGCYTGGTCAGTGGCCGAAATTCCTGCGAGCGRCTTTTTTCGTGGAGAATATTACGGTGAAGAGGACTACCAAGTATGCGCCAGCCACGCTATGGTATGRGAGGCATGCCACCTTCCCTATAGAAAGCTTTATGAAAACGTGGAGGCGCSAGGACTTGGAAGTAAACCTGTCCTTCGAGGARCTGCTCGATATCCGRGCGCGRCAAKTKRGAGCGGCCGAGGAAAGATTGSGAGAGGCCGCTRGTCAGGTAGARAGAAGTCGCATGGAGGATAAGATGAGGTGGGATCAAAYGGCGYGAGTGCGGAAAGAGCCCTTGGCAGTGGGAGATAGMGTGTTATTATACGACTCATCCCTGGAAAAGCAGTGGTCACGAAAACTTGACAAAAGATGGTTGGGGCCCTACAGGATTGTGCGATGCGGCGAGTTTGGGGCGTACCAGATCGAAGAGCTAAACGGCACAGAGTGGAAAGATTGGGCATCCGGGACGAGGCTGAAAAAGTTTGTGGCCAGGGAATAGGTAAAGCCGCAATCCCTCCCAGCCGCTGTGATCCCTCCCAGAGTAGACCCTCGTCCAAAGTACTGCATGCCATGATTGGARGCAAAGAAAGGWTTGATGTGTYTGAGATTGGGTGTATATCTGCTCTGAAGACTGYTGGACCCATATGCTGATCCTGTCGTGTGCCTGTTTGTTTCGTTTCGCCTGATGTGCAGGTCTGACTTTATAGAAGGCAGCCATGCAGAGGGGCGGGCGGGGCACGCGGCCACGACAGAGACCTCTCGAGGCATCCAGAGGGGAGGAGCGGCATGGGCCCTTCAGGAGGGAGCCTACACCCGTGYTTGACGRCGACAACATCGAGCTCTTCCTGGACGCTTACCGAGAGCATGCAGCCCGRAGAGGATGGRACGTGGCCGAGAGGATACGTCACTTGAGGGKARTTRGGAGGTTCGAGGAGCCCATTGCGCAGATCGGGGAGGAGGCCCTAACTTGGTCGGAGGTAGAAGCAGGGATGCAGAGACTGAGAGCTTCGMCTTTGGGGAATGATGGGYTACCTATTCRTTTGGAGGAAGGGAWCGCGGAGGAATTCATCCCARCATACGAACGGTATATGAGCGATYAGGGAGTTTCGAGGGATGAGTGGGTACAGGCGCTGCGCCTTTGGACCAGAGAGGCGGAGCGTCCGCTGGTAAGACAAATCYAGAGGCGGGCACAAGATTGGGRGGATTGTCGGGCTCAGCTGAGGGTGGCGTTTCGGCGACCGGAACYAGAGAGGCCAGAACCAAGGGTTGACAGAAGGCGGCGAAGCAAGAGGTTAAGGGATTTGGAGGCAAGAGAGCCGGTGACGTCGAGAGGTGGTCGGAAGGCCTTGGCACAACGAGAAGGAGGACAAGCAGGGCCGGCTAGGGCAAGCGAGTCCTTCCCTGCTTGTGGCCTCAGGCAGGTGGAGTTCCACCAAGTTACAAAGGATGACCTACTGGGGCCCTCGCCACAGGCACCAGAGCAGAGGGAGAGCGAGGTACCARCAACRCCTTTCAGGAGTCTGGAGGCCCACTTAGACGCGTCCCAGTGGGGACCCCCTTCAACAGGAGAGAGCCCGACGGACCCATCAGGAGGGGAGCAGACTCGCCTAGAGCCTGAGGCAGAGCCACTCAGATTGAAGGGGGTAGGAACGGAAGATGTCATTGTGGTGGAAGGTGACACTCCCCCTGACTCCCCAGCTCGAGCTCAGACACRGMGGTYCTGGCCAGAGGGCRTCGCGGRGCCAGACAGCCAGGAGGCCCCAGTACCACCACCARAGGCCASTATGTCACCCWGGCAGGAGGTTGAGGCRAGAGGGCCAGTGGAGGGGTGGAGGACGGAGCCCCGCCTGATTGTCGACTCACGCTTAGCCKCGCACGCAGCCGAGCRCCYKGACATTGAGGAGMCCAGCCYRGTAGGGCCATCATCGGGGCYAGYRGGTACTRAGTTAGGRGAGGGTTYGCAGGCTGCGACTGGGGARGTCGCGGAGGCAGGCACAGGAAAGGAGCCAGACGAAGCCGTCCGGGCAAAACGTGCTAGGGTATGAGCTCGCCTTGAGGAGATACATGAGCGCAGGGACARGATGGRGGCTGCAGGGATAGCGCCAAGGCCACCAGTCKCCCCAAAGACAAGTGAAGAGAGGATTGACGAGTTATGGGCCAGATATGAGRGACRGAGAGAGGCAGCTCGCYAGAGGGCACGAGAGGCGGGCCAGGTGATTGAGGGTGCCGACGAGGCGATAGAGGTTGGGGAATTGGGGTTTTSTGCTGCCAGGGAGGCCATCAAATGGGTAGACAAGGGGATAAAGCAGACATCCATTGAGGCCTTTCACAGGTACTCCYTGCTTAGTGAYGARTTGGCTCTCAGGAAAGATGAGGTGGAATAGCTGACTGCCCAACTCACAGAGGAGAGAGCCGAGAGCAAGGCCAGGCARRCTCGCCTGGAGGCRAAGGAGGYTGAGTSGGAGGCRAARCTCAAGGAAATGGCGGCCGCRGTRGAAAAGCTTACCGCCACCAARRTRATCGAYTGGACTGAGCAGAGCAGRTAYGGCATCCAARGSAAGGRGGTGCAAGGGCTGTTTGGCCAAGAGGAGGCAGCAGAGGCATCTCGRCARGAGAAGTTGGGGAAGGTATTTCTGGACCCAGCWGAGGCAGAGGCMAGRAARGAAGCCAACAARGRAAGCTTTGAGTTCAAGGCTCCCACTKAGCTGGCTTCACARCAGGAGGCCGCTACTTCGGCAGATGYTCCTAAGGAGGTGCTGACCCAAGARCCCCAACCTGCATCAGTAGGAGAGGGGGAGGCTGAGTTGTCACTGACAATCCTTCTGGACGTACAGGAGGGGACACTCACTGGAGCGGTGGGATCTCCACGGCCGGAGGCACAAGGGGAGGAGCCATCGCGCTTGGACGAGTTGGTTGCTGCCATGGAAGTGGATATGCCGCCAGAGAGGCCTCAGGGGCTGGAGGCCCCAGAGCATGAGCCAAAGTTGGAAGAGTTGAGGGTACAGCTGGGCTCGTGGGCCACTGGGACCGATTCGGGAGGACCGACTACTGAGCTGCGGCAGCAGGAGGCCACGAGCCAGCCTACTAGAGCCACTACTCCCCAGGCTCCGGGGTCCAGAGAGGGGGAGGAGGAAGCCATATTGGAGGTCACTTGCGAGGGCCGGCCACTGAGATTGGATACCCCTGAATACCAACCCGAGGGAGAGATGCAGCAAGGGGAGTCAAGCGAATATGGAATCGAAGGAGAAGCGGAAGGACCATGGCACCTGCCCCAGAGTCATGGACTGAGTAAGGAGAAGGATAAGGTGCCTCCGTCGCCAGGGACCCAGAAAAAGAAGAAGAGATTTCAAAGGAAATCTGGGGCTATGTGTTTCTATTTTCTGGACGGAGTGCATAGGGCCGTGGACTGTCCTAAATTTCTTAAGGACAAGGCTGAGGGGCGGGTTACTGAAGAAGGTGGCAAGATGTATGATAGACAGGGCCGAGTGGTAGAGACACCTCCGGATGGGGGTCGAGCCCAGTTGTATAGGCAAAACCAGGAGGAGATGAGTGAGTGAGAGGCTGGTTCGCCTATACGCCAGTAGCAGTGAGGTGTTTTCTGTACATAGAAATAGTAAAGTAAAGGGCATAGGGTATCACGGGTCAGATACGTGTATCTTAGGTGTTATGTGCGACAAAGGACCAATGTACAATAAGGTTTTGAGGTTCTTTTCACATTGGGATCTAAAGACTGGGACTTAGCTGTGTGATACTTAGGACAACTAGTTGTATTGCGTTTGGTTTTGAGATTATTGTCTACCTATAGGTGATGTGAGAGTCAGTAACACCTAGGGTATGAGCCCATTGGATATGAGAGGGGGCATGACATTTGAGAGTTGATGTTGAGATTTGAGAGACATTCTATTATTGAGTGTATAACTGAGCGAGGTCTTGAGACTACCCCCTGTGTATGACGATCACTCTCGCTCTCATATGTGTGGCTTTCTGATGTATGATAATTTGTGTGGGATTTGTGTAACAAACAGCTCATATGCTTATGCCTTGTGAGTAAATATAAAACTGTCTACTCTTCGGTATACTCGCGCAATCTGCTTGGGAGCAGATGTTAGAGCCGAGTATAAGGAGAGAGAGCGCAGTTTGTTTTTGTGAAACAAGTTGCAAAAACCCAAAGCGGGCCTATGAGTCCTTGGGACTCGAAAGCTTATCATGCCAAATGTTTAAGTGTCTAAATGGTATTAGGGACCCATAAGTTGGCCCCTTGTGTTGTACTGTTGCCATGATTGAATTGTACACTATGAATTATTTGGGAGACTTATCGTCAGAAAAGGAAGATGTTCTACACAGGTCATGTGAGGACCCATCCTAAGAAAGAAAGGGTTGGTTGACATACCTATTGAGTGAAACCTCCACCATAGGGAGGATGATTAATAGACATGATGGCATGAAAAATTGGGTTGGTAAGATGAAAGACTGACGAAAGGAACCTTGTTTTAAATGGCCACTCGATGAAATTTCTTGAGAATGTCGCGAAAATGTTTGCTTTTGAGAGGTGTCCCTGAGGTGTGTGATCCTCCTACCCTGATCAAGTTAGGGAGTCACAGCCTGGTGGATCTGACGGTTTCCTATGGTTGTAAATGTGGGGAGGTGGCCATGCCCCCACTGTGTTGTCCCACAGAGAGCTGGTAAATACCTGTCATGTGTGACAAGCCTATGCGCAGTCCCGCAGTAGGCCTGTATTTGTTGCGAGGCACTGTCCGGCCACTCATGCTAACCTCAAGGCACATAAGGAAGACCAAGCTAAACGGTAAAGTTTTAGCACCGCTAGGGCGCAACCCCTAGGGATGGCCGTGGACCGGCACAACCTGGCCGCGGGCCCACGTCTGACCACGGGAGTAAAGGCTTAAAGGGTGTGGCCGCCCAGGAAGGCTTTACCCCTGTGGAACGACATGGGATAGGAGTCGAGTCATATGAGTCTTTGGGGAAGTCCTGATTGAATGCTTATCAGGAGAAAGTCTATCGTGGCGTAACCTGCGAGGGCACTACCGCCAAAATAACAACGCGGTGGGCCGTAGATCTGGCCTGATCAACCAGACTATGGTGGGCTAAGATGGAGACCTAGCACTTCCGTACTAGACTGCGGAAGCTGCTGAGAGGGAGTCAAGGACACACATAATCATATATCAAATTGAGAGGGGATTCTTGAGAGAAAGGCAGAAAGCCTTCAAAGGTCTCAGTTAGGGCCCGCGTCCGCAGTTATGACCCTGCTTACCAGAAAGGGGGCTGGGGACATCCAACGAGAGGCCGACACTTGTCTACGACAAAGGGACGAGGACGGGTATGAGGGCCTTTGGAACTTATGCTGTAGTACTGATGCGTAGTACACTGGCGTCCTAGTGTCAGGACAATGGAGACCCAGGTTGAAACCCTGACAACATATAGTTGTGTGGGCATGGACCGCTGGGGGCCTCGAACCTGAGTCTGTCGGCTGATCGGATTGGTTCCTTTTCGTCAACATTTTTTATGTATGGATGGCTTGATAGCTTTTTGATCTTGCGAAGCGACGGGGACGTCGCTTAATATAGTCCGGTAAGCGCTGCCGAAATTTTCTTAGTTCAAAGGAGTTAGATTATATTTTGACATGTGACAATCCTGGAAAATCCACTCTGTATAGAAGAGATTCTGCCAGAGTCTACCTTTCTTTTGACATTTGCTTAGAGGTAGACTCAGACTTAGTTAAATAGGATGATTTGAGTGAGATCGTGATATGGAGATTATTCTCCATGAACTTATAGACTTAGCTTGGGGATTGGCCTGTCTTGTGTTACAGGTCTTCTGGATTGATTGATTCAGGATTTGGGTTGGATTCAGCTTGATCCTACAAGGATCATCTTCTTTTATCACTGATAACAGGTCGGTTGCCGATTCGTTGGTTTACGATTCAACTCCAATCTACGCCTCCCACTCAACCTAAAGGCTTTAGCCATGTGATTTGAACTGTTTTGTTGTATTTTCACCCGGACTTTATTTGAATGGTCATTTAAAGAAAAGTAGTGAGTATTTTATTTTGAGAGTTGCACAAGGGGTGTGAATGCAGAGAATGGCTGAAGTTGACCCCGTGTAGTGCATAGACTTTTTTGTTGAATCTTTGATGTGATTGAAGGTATGTTTGGTGATTCGGACTTTGGATTTGACTGTCTGCGCTCACATATATATATATATATATGGCTGAAAGGAGTCCCACTGTGACTGTGAGAAGTGGTCGTTCTATATTAATAACCCTCTATATATGTGAATATATATGTCTTAAGTGTTTCGTGCAACCTACAGTGACCACGCGTAACGGTTAAACAGATTATGTTTTCGAGGGAAATTAGACTTTCTCTTTTAGCCTTTGCTCTTTAGAATTTCTATGGTTGGACGTTGTAGTCCATGGCAGCCGTCAAAGTCAAACCCCTTGATTTCTCTCCAGACCCTAGATGATGGAGCTGGTCTCCAGGGCGATAAGAGACAATTGCCACCACAGGTATAAACCTGTGTACCACCCACTCTCCGCAGGGTGCAGAAGAGGGTGTGGTACCGCCAACGTCGAGAAATCAATCCCTCAAGGCGCGTGTCGGCCGACACTTGAGTGCCGAATGCGACCCTCAAAATTAACGAAGACCGCATGAGTATGGGTCCATCATTGCGACTGCTTGCGTATGCTTGCATTGCGAGTCGATATGAGTTAGCCCTGCGTCCGCGCGGTTTTATACTAAGTCTCGCACGCGTCGCCTATCCGATTTCCGCGTCGGAGAGTTATGGGATGGCTACTAAGGGACTAGGAGTGTTGTCGCGTTGTTTGTTCTGTGTCATTTCGTGTATATGTACGTGTGCGTGTTTTTATTTTTATATTCTTTATAGTGGCGTGCGCGTGGCGTGTGGGATGCGTCCTAGTCGACCGACGACGAGTCGCGCTTGGGACTTCAGCCCCCCAAGATGCCGGTTCGCGTGCGGGTTCGATAGAGGCGTAATACCGCGCAAGAAGCGGTTAATGGAAGGTCAAAAATTCGGCGAATTTTGACGAATTTTTCACCGAGAAAAACCCTGAATTTTTAGCCTTCCATTAACCGCTAGTGTACCAGGTGAGAGGGAGTGCTTCGATGATTGTTTTCATGTGCTTCTCTGTGTCATGGAAATAACGGAGGATGCTTTGAAGCTGGGTTATTGTTTTCCAGTCCTTCCTCTCATGGTCCCACAGGTGCCCGACACAGAGTATCCCATTCCTCACCCATCCCTTCCAGGGGGCAGCTAAGCTGTTTAAAATCTGTCCATGATGGGGAGTAATCCACCGGTTACCGAAAAGCGGTTGACGGTACACTTCCTCCCACCTTGTTGGTGCCAGCTTTTCAGGGAGGGGGAGCCTGCGCCAACTCTTTAGTAGTGAAGGCCAAAATTTATCTGTTGTTTGCCCATAGATCTTGCGTGGGATTGACCAATAGCGGTCCTCTAACCATGTAAGCGGGCTAACCTCAGGAGGGGCCGGTGGGGCCAACCGGGCAATGTGTTCCAGGGCGAGGGGTCGTCATGGACTATCCAGGGAGAAAATCAAAGTCTTCAACCATTTAAGATGGAGTGCCTGGACTTGTGTCGTGGGATCGATAATGCCCAGGTCTCCAGCCTGTTTTGGTTGTATGACAGATTCCCATGCCACCCTACTAATGACGTTTGCACGCTCATCATCTCCTCTCCAGAGAAAGGTTGTTGCCCTAGACCTAAGTGATTGGAAGGCCGTCCTGCTAAGGGGCCAAAGCACTTTTTATACCACAACGCAGCGAATACCACATTGTTAATCGCCAGCGCTCGGCCAAAGAGAGAGGTATGCTTATTGCGCCAGTTGGCCAGTTTGGCTAAGGCGGGTGCTAAAATCCAGTCGTCATTTGAGGAAAGGCGACCCTGGGTTGTTAAAGAAACCCCCAAGAAACAGACAGGGGCCTGCAAAGGGAGTCAGTGGATGTTTGAGAAGTCTGGTAGATGACCCCCTTGGTAGTGGATCCACCATCCCTGTGTTTTGCTTCCCTAGTTCACCATCATGTCAAATACTTGGGCGAATTTACTCATTAATTTCTGGATTTCAATCATATTCTCCTGCGTAGCATCTACTATGATGGTGATATCGTCTGCAAACAGCGAGCATAACGGGATGGCCTCCTCTAGGATTCGTGTAATCTGAATTTTCTTGATATCTTTATTTGCTCGAAGATTCGCCGATAAGGCCTCCATGATAATGAGGAAAAGGAAGGGTGCTATTGGATCACCTTGGCGGACCGACCGTTCCAACTCAATCGGAGGAGCCAATGTTTCGTTTATTTGCACCCTTGTAGTGGTATTGTGGTGAAGGATGCGAATCCACCTGTGGAAGACCGGCCCAAAATTCATTTTTTCCAGACTCTTGTCAAGAAAGAACCAGTTCACATGATCGTAGGCTTTCTCAAAATTTAATGAAAACGAGGGCTGCATTTTGTTTTGTTTGTCGGGACAATTGCAACTCCTCGTTGACCAACAAGATATTTTCTTGGATTTGCCTGTGTTGCATAAACATTGTCTGTGATGGGTGGATCACTCCCTCTAAGACCGGAATCATCTTGTTGGTCAGGGCCT